AGCTACAGTCGTAAATAACCAGGGTAAGAGATAAGGAGTGTTCAAGATATACTGCAATCGACTTTCAGCTAGGAGATGACACCTGGGATATACCTTGACATTCTGTCACTCAGAATGACATTTTTAAAATTTCAGGATAGAATGATAAACCTTCAGGTGCAGCTCGAAAGATACAAACCAATCAAACGACCGATCTATTAATTAGTTACATATTTTTTGGAGAACGTCACAAATCAAACACATCATTCATTTGTTGGCCGTCTGAAGTTTTACTAAGAATATCAAGAAAAGATATAAAACCGAACGAAAAATATATTAGCAAGCTCCACAAAATAAAAAATCCAAACAAAACGTAAACGTTGCGGCTATGGAGCCTTCGTCAGCACATACAAATCAAACAATACTACATAAATATTAAGCACTTTTACGTTCTGTAGTTTTCCATTGCTACTAAATGGTCGACGATCATACCGTTATCAAAATCAATGACTTCTTGCCAAATCATTCGCAACCAAATCGAACCTAGTATGTGTCAGAGTTATGAAACTAGTTCACAAGTCTTGACTCTTATGGTGACATATAGTCAATTTTCACCCAGATTGACTGAGTAAACATGCTTTTCTTTTATCACAGAGATCAACACTCTGAAGATAACACCATCCGGTGGGGCCTCAGTCGTTTCGGGGATTGCAGAAATCTGAAGAGCTTGGAGCAGTCCCCTATAAGGATTGTCCTCAGAAGAGTTGCACCCAAGACCTCCTTCTTGATCCCCCAGTGCACACTGCCTAGAAACATGACCGGGATGTGGTTTACACAAGGCATTCAGTTTGCGTCTAATGTGTGGATTAATGAAACCCACATACACTACAAAACTATGATGAGTCAGTTTGACTACGAGGAGTCTTGGTTTGCATGTTTAGCTCATCTCGGAACGCGCTACATGATGTCCAAAGTTGTCGTGGGCCGATGCGAAGTCAGTTTAGTTTGCTTTGATATGTCACCTCGTTTCCACGGCCTCATTCGTTACAGAGTTGGCCGTTCCTCGAAGCTGCCCTTTGATATCGAAACGAAACAGGATAGGGATTTTTTACCGCGATCTTTCAGAGAAACTTGCAGTTGGCAATGGCTGACTTTTTCCAGAGAAAACGTGGATTGGAAATACGAGGTGCTGATACAAAACCCACCCTCACCAGTTATTTGTCCACTAGGAGGTCGATACACTTTTACCCAGTACTCTAACGATTTTTACCAACTCTATGACACAAGAATACGTGGTATCACCCTCAGTCCCAGAAATAGAATTAACTGTTGGCAGAACGTGTCGGAGTTTAAATCCTGCGCTGCAGACATGAGTAAAATGGAAATTGACGCCTGGTATTGCGAGTCAGTGGACTATAGAGGCAGACCTATCGGGGAATATGACGAGCCAGATCACATAATGACCTGCGTGGGGTTCTGGCTGGAAGACATGAACTCGTACCTTATCACCTACGACGAGGAAGACGCCGTTTCCAAATTCCGGTGCTGGGTTTACGAACGAGTCAGCTGGACAGAAGTGGCCTTATCCAGAGCCGAGACTGCCCGCTGTCCCAAGAACCAAAAGTCTACCAGTTATGAGATCAACGGAGCAAGGTTGTACCTACAGCTAACTGAGAGCGAAAGATTGTTTGATGATTGTCCACCAAGATTCGACTCTGGTATTCAGGTGGGGATTAAACCCAAAGTGGTGTACCAACTGTGGGGCTCCACCAGTCTACTATCGCCAAGTATCACAACTTTAGTTGCATTTCTAGTTGTTGTGCTTCTTATTAAAAGCATGCAAGGATAGTTTAGTAGTTTTTGCTAGCCTAATGTCTTCACTTACAATATTTTTCATTAATAAGTATTACTGTTAACAACTATGTTACATTACATTCTTTATTTACATTTGTTTCATCATTACACCTTTGTTATTTTATTTATATGCAAATAAATGTGACAGCCTAAATTTAAGAAATCATGATAATATAAATATTTTGTACAACCATGAAGAAGTAATAATTTTATTAAATTTAAACAAGTAATCTCCATGGACTTGACACTGTAAATCATATTTTGTTTTTAAATTTTTATTTTATGTTGGAGGCAGCTGTTATGTAGTTGATTGTGGAATAAATCTTTTCAAAGAGTATCACATATTTCTCTGGTAAAATGTGGTAATCAATGCAGTGTTGTGCCCATAAGGAAATAAAAGAACACTAATACTAGCATAGCTCAAGTTATAGAAGCCTCTAGCCCTGCGGTTCTCAACCTGTGGGTCGTGACCCTTTCAAAAGGGTTGCCTAAAACCATCAGAAAACACATATTCACTGAAGTTATAAAGTAGCAACGAAAATAATGTTATGTTTGGGGGGGTTGCCATAACACGAGGAACTGTATTACAGAGTCGCAGCATTAGGAAGGTTGAGAACCAGTGCTTAAGTCCCTTGTGATGTCTCCACCTGTAGGTGGTTTACAATGGCTTGTGTGTTAAGCCATTCAGTAGAAGTTATTTTCACAAAAACATCCTGTTCAATCCTGAGGGTTATAATCTGGATATAAAGTGTTTATTAGATTCCCAGAGTTAATATTTGTTATTTTTGTGTGTGTAATTGTTTACACATTTGTGAGTTACGATTAAAATATACATTATGCTATGAATAAAAAAAACAAACACAAACCTGCTAGCATAAAGATGGATGGTACAACCTGCAAAATTGCTTGCCAAAATCAAGATATCCAACCAAGTATTGACACACATTTTTCAAAGCTGTTGTCATGATTTGGTTGAGGCCTTTAGCTGTTTGGATACAACAGGTTTGAGGTTTGAACAACGGATCAACATCATGGCACACGGGTAGTAACCCATAAGTGCTCCGTTCTTTTAACTCAAGTCTGAGTCCAAAAAATCTTAGCATAGTGCACAGGCTCTGTAGCACCGGCAACAATCTGAAATACTTTGGGTAGATTTTAAACTCAAAATTTTGCTGCTTTTGGGCTACTCTTTTCAATTTCTAACTGCCAAGGGATTTTTTACGTGCACAATGCACACATGCGCCAGATCTCACTACCCAGAGACCAAGGGGAATTGCTAAAAGTTCAAGTCCATGTGAAAAAATCTCAGCCCTCACCGGAGATTGAGCCCGGAACCTCTAGCACTCAAGGAAGACACCATGCCTTGAGACCACGCAGCCCCTGCTTGATACAACAGGCAGAAGAGAGTATACAATTATGCCGCAGGCATAGATAATGAATGTCTCCAGTTTAATATGATCAACTCTTGAAGTCATTGTCTTTATTTATGCTCCAGACGACAATATGCTGTTCTGACATTGGAGCAAAATATTTTGGTAATAGTTTTAATTTCTTTTGAACTATTGATTTCCCAGTGTCATGAATACCAGCTCCTATTGAATTTTTTAGTCTTTATTTTTATAAGCTTTTATAAAGTTCAGTTTTGTTTGTCTTGTATGATTTTGTGTGTTCAATGTTTATACTATTTACTGAACAGCCATTGGGCTAGTGCATCGATTATTGTATGCAAGTAATAAAAGTTTATTTTATAAAACAATGCTTTTTTTTGGGTATGTAAAAAAAAAAAAAAAAAACACTCAAGAATTCAATTATTTTCCTCCCTGCCCATCTTTGTAACTTTTAACAGCCGCATAACTGTTCCCACTTATATTATAGTACTTTTTCCATTTTACCTCTTTGGCATCAATAAAAATCTACAGCCAGAAAACACACAGGGAGAAGTATGTAACAACATACAAAAGAAAATATCAAAACAAAACATTAATTATTTAAGCCTTTAAATATTTATTTGTCAATTACTAAAGCATCATGAATGTATCCATGTGTAATGATGTGTATTTTCTTTTCTTAGCCTAATGTTGGAAAACAGATCACTGTGCTCAACTTTTGTTGATAAGGCAAAAAAAAAAGTTATAATAATCACTCAATTCTAAAAGGAGGTGTAACAATCATTCAAGAAATGCTGATCATATTATACTAAAAACTGCACTACACAAGGATGCAGATTATTACGAATTTAAATGTCTTCAGACTGTTAATCCTTTATAGGATATGTCTCCATCTTAGACCTGTTAACAGAATGAGATGAGAGGCACAGAAAGAGGGAGAGATTTGAAAGAGAAAGTGTTAACAGTATAGTTAAAATAATGTGACAATGAGAAACAAAATATCTATTACAACGAACAAATAAATCGCTTACATCTGTGACTGTAAGGTAACTTAAAAGAAAGACAACATCGCCAAAGAACAAAAATTTCCAGTCAGACAAATTCACAAAAAGTGATACAAAGTGAAGCCATGTTTTCAGTAACACAGCAAATTAGAAATACAGAAAATGTATTGAGACCCTACACATTGTTAGCATTCAGAAAACATAAGAGTACATATGATAAATAATGCAAAACATTAAAAAGACAGGTATGAAAACAAGACTGACGTATACACAGGTAAAATTGCAACAAAACTAGGAACAAAAACATTTTTTTTAGTTCTTTATTGCATGTCTATGTAATGAACATAAACTAATGTGCTTTCTTCCCTAAATTGTTACAGTACTTATACAAAAGTAACAGCAATTTATACTTATGTGTCCATATTATTATGTAACATAACGACAAATCCTCTATTGCAGGACCAAACTAACATGATGAAAATAAACTCTGAGAGAAGCACTTCTGACAAGGTTATCGCCTGTACAACTGATCTGCAGTAACATTTCCAGGACTTTTTTCTTTCTTTCTGGTATGCAGTATGGGCATCTTGCAGCACTACTGTAAGAGTGTGGTTAATACCTGCACCTTTCTTTCTAAAGGGGGAAGGGGGGAGCCCTGAATATATCCTATAAAACTGTAATTTCTCATGTTGAAAACATTAACAATGAAAACTTCTCTGGGTGTCAAAGATATTGCTACCAGAGTCCAAACCATAACTTTGTGAACATCAACAATCTAATCTTCAGTCCACTCAAAAGGCTCCGGCGCTTCTGGCTCCTCCTCCTCATCATCTGCCTTTGGTCCTCCTGCTTGAACTGTCTCCACAATGTCTTCCTTTTCCTCTGGTTTGCTGTTCTTCAGCATGATTATTCCTCCGTGGGACAGGTCTTTAACAGGAGTGTACCGGGATGTTTCCATGGAAAGCACTTTCAGCTGAGCCTACAGATCAGAAACAAACACAAGTGTCACCTTAAATTATAACACATTGTTCAACTAAACTTTATATATTTAGTCAACAAAAAAGAACCCCCATCATCAGCACCAATGAACGTCTCATACAAAGCATATTCAGCTAGATAGATAGTCGAGGCTTTAACATCACTGCATAGGGTTTACCTATACTTGATCCATTTCCTGTGCCAATGCAAATCAAATTAAATGTCCCTCGCTGTCGCATTTGAAAAACTGGTGAACAAACAATTAGTCCCGAAACAATCCAGAAATATGTGCACACAGTAAATGTGTATTTCAGTTGCTCAAGGTGCCAAAGCCAACAAACGCCACCAGAAATGTAGTTTGTCGTTGATGGAAATAGTCGGGCACGATAAGTTGGTTACTATACATGCGTACAATTTTTTCATAAGGTATTTCACCAGCCCACACGTAAACCGGCTATATTGAACAAAGCGACACAACAGCTGCATAAATGAAAGGCATTCCATAGGAAAAACACAGCTCACAGGGCTGCAACCAAGCACTGAGCGAAACCATAGACTACCTTCCTTATGTGGAAATTGCATTAGCAAAGCGCTGTCAGATGCAAAAATAACTTCAAAGCCTCTTCATTCCAACCAGTGTTAGACATGGTCACTCACAACAGACCAGTAAAGAGGAAATGAGATGCCTGCAGGAGTGAACCAGAAGAGATAAAATCAGGAATAAGGTCATAAAAGAAAAGGCTGGCACAGAAACAATTTTAAATTTTAATACAAAGACAGCAAATCAAATGGTTTGCCCATGTAGAAACAGCCTGCTTCATGACGCCATACCATACAAGGCATACACAAAAAGAGGAAATGCATGAAGTGCATAAGGCAGACCAAGAACAACATGGAAAGATAATACCAGAGAACCTCTACAACAAGGCTATTCAATACAATTTTAAATTACATACAAAGACAGCAAATCAAATGGTTTGCCCATGTAGAAAGAGAACCTCTACAACAAGGCTATTCCACATATTCAATACAATTTTAAATTACATACAAAGACAGCAAATCAAATGGTTTGCCCATGTAGAAAGAGACCCTCTACAACAAGGCTATTCAATACAATTTTAAATTACATACAAAGACAGCAAATCAAATGGTTTGCCCATGTAGAAAGAGACCCTCTACAACAAGGCTATTCCACATATTCAATACAATTTTAAATTACATACAAAGACAGCAAATCAAATGGTTTGCCCATGTAGAAAGTGACCCCCTACAACAAGGCTATTCAACTAAGTTTACTCGGGAGCCAACATTTTGAAAACTGGGATGGTCACGGCCAGAGTCAAGCGCTGCAGCATAGAAAGATCATTATTACAACACAACTGGCAGTGATTCGCAAGCTGCTTACCAGGCCCCCACAGACCAGATTTAGCCTGCCAGTTGAATAGCCCTGCTTTACAACAGCACAATGGGTCTCTGGTCGAGGCGGTCAGAAGAGCAAGAAGCAGAACCTTATCCTCCCTCAACACTTAAAGCGGTAAAAGAGGAAGTGAAGAAGAAGTCAACCAAAACATGGGTTCGCAACCCATAAAGGGCAGCGAAGGTTTTGTCGGGTTGCTGGGACAGTGGTGAACTACGCAAATATTAAAAAGCGAAATAAAAAGTCCCCAAAAACATAGCGTTTAGCACAGAAAATCGATTTCCAACACTTTACCATTTACCTTATTAACAAGCGTATATTTTAATGTAATGGGTCGCGGATCATTTTACCTCGATAAAATGGGGTCACGACTCGAAAAAATGGTCGAGAACCACTGAACTAAAGTATCGATTCAACAGTGAAAGGTTTCTTGAGGCTTTAGAGATGTGGTTCTAGAGAAGAGTTTCGAAAAATTCCTAGGACAGCCAAAATGAGGAAATCCAGATGTTATGAAAGAGTCAAAGACTCATCAATGAGATACAGCCATCATTTTATGACCACATCATGAGAAGAAAGAAAGTGAAACATGTGACAACTTGCAAGATTTAAGGAAAGAATGACAAAGGAAAGGGAATACAATACGAGAATATTTCTGACAGCCTTTTCTCAAGCATGGTACATGGACTGACATATACTATTTGGGGGTCGCAAGTAGTGGGAGGCACGATCGGCCGTGCCAGTAGACAAGGCACTTGATGATGACTAAAATATATGAAGAAGGGGATCTAAGCATTTATCGACTGACGTTTAGTGGCTTGCTGTTGTTGGCACCTTTCTGGACGATGGTGTTACATTGTGCTCTGGAAAGGCATGGGAATTACAGACAAATTCTACTACAGTGGGTGACATGGTTTATTCCATGCCAGCCGCCTTTACTTCCCAGGACTTGACCTGGTACCCATTTAAGGCTGAACCGACCTGGATGGCGAGGTCAGTTCTCTGAAGTGGTCTATTCTTTGTTCTCCAGAATGGAGTCCCAGAAGACAGATGATGGTGGTGGTGGCGGGATGCAGTGGTGGGGGGTGGGGGGGGGGGGGGGGGGGGGGGGGGGGGGGGGTGGGGGGGGGGGTGTGTGTGTGGTTTGAGAATACATCAATTCTGCCATTCATCAGTTCAGCATCCCATGATACAGAACTGATGTTTCAACTACAAAAACATTTATTGTTGTTAACTCTTAGGGCACCAATGAATACATCATGCGTTGACTATTGACTAATTCAACTGAAATCTGGTCTCGAAAGAGTTAAAGGAATGAGACCTGCCCGGTACTGACAGGAAAAAAAAACAATACATTTTTCAAGGTTTACCTTCATTGTGCGAGCAGGATTAGTCAAGATTTCAAAATTAGGTTCTGGCTCTTTCTTTTCTGTGGATGGTGACTCAGAAACAAGGGTTTCTGAAGATTCTGCTTCTCCAGCTTTCTTGGTCTTGTCTGAACTTGCCTTATCATCCTGGGAGAGTTGACAAATACACAACATAACAATATGAAACCAAACTGCTGCAGCTTTATGATAAAGTCAAGAGGATCGACTTCACTGCACCCGGTTTTATCCCGTATGGCTCGGTCTCTCGCCGCAGGGCGGCTAGCAGTCTGCCGAGAGCACCGCACATAGCATGAACTCCATAGCTCCAGCGACAATCCCCAGGGATCTCCTTAAAAATTGCAAAGCAAACTGAAGGGCGCAACCGTGAATGAAACTCACGACCTTCAGAGCGCGAGGCAAGCTGCTTGACCACTTTGCCCTGGAGATCTCTGCAGTTATATTAATTCTACAGAAGTGATACCACAACACTAAGTGCTTTGCAGTATGTTCTTCTTCTCTTCCACCTTGTACCTCATCGAAGTGGCGAGGGAAAATGTAACATTCATTGATGAGCTCTAGCAAGAGCACTATTAAGACTGATGTTCATTTCTGTAAGGCTATTCTTAATGCCATCACTCCATCTTTTCGAGGTCTTCCACTCCTCTATAACCGTTGTAATGTTTTAGTGTGGCTCGCTGTGGCCCAGAGCATTCTTGTTAGGTGTCCAAACCACTTTATTTGTAGTTTTTCGATGACTTGTAATTCCGGCTTTATTCCTAGCATTTGTCTGATTTTGTGATTTAGTATTTTTTGTAGTATGCAAACCCACTTAAAGAAAAGACAATTACAATTATTATCACCAACGAGACATGGTCAAAAGGGAAGATAGGGAGGTTATAGTTTTTAGTCACGGAAGGTTTCTGATTCTGAATATGAATGCCGAACAATGAATAAACAAAAACAAGCCAAACAATGTCTTGACGTCTTGGAGATTTCCTGGGCTGCCAAAAAGAGCAACTCAGGTTTTGAAAGAGGCGAGGGCTCAAAGAAATATTATCACACACATTACAAAGAGACGGCTATCGTTTTCTAGTCATGGGAAGATGGAAATGAGCATGTTGTGTCCACTGGGAAGATCTGTGGAAAAAGAGACACGAGGAAGACAACACGGGATGATTCCTGACAGTCTTTTGTCAACACAGGAACTGATATATGCTTCTAAAGATCGCAGATTGTGGAGAGAGAGGCATGATTCCTCATGCAAGATGGCAAAAGCATTTGATGATGATGATGATGATAATTCACAGAACACTAACAGTTAATTCCGCCTATTCAGTTCTATCCTAAGCAATCTTGTATTTATCGTGGAGGAAATCCTGTCCAACATATTTGGCCTCACTCATTACCTACCATTCATTGAAGAGTTAGTTTCAACTATAAACACCCATACCTTTTTCTTGTCTTTTTTATCCTTGCTGGTGTCCTTCTTGGAGGAGTCATCAACTTCCATGGTCTCTATCGTTGACTGTGAGTCTTTCTTCTTTTCTAAATCCTTCTTCTTCTGCTTGGCAGTGATAGATAGGACGGCTGTCTCCACCTGTACACAATAAAAAAAAAAAAAACAGTAAGCATGCATTATAAAATAAGTATTTATTGAATACATTTTTCTTTAAATTTCAGCGATCAATGTTTTCTATGCATTTATTCCGGCAGCTGTGGTAGCATGGCAACTAAATGCTCCCCTGCTAACCTGAAGAGCTTTGGTTTAAATCTGCACTCTCATAAGTGCTTCGTCCCCATCCTCAGCAGCAAGCAAAGTTCCAAATCCGATGGCACCAGTAACTGTCTGATTGTAAATCCGCCTCATCCTTTCCCTGAGTGGTGAGGGACAGCCAGATCCCCTGGTAACTCCTCACAGCGCCATTCTTTCAGACCGTAATGATCTATTCTGGTACTTTAGTAACAAAGCTTGAAAGGGTCTTTTTTTAACTTCACCCTTCTTAATGTTTTAATGAAATTACTGGCATGACATTGGAATGACAAGAGCACCGCATCACCCCAAGGGATTAATCAACAGACAAATAAAAAACCATATTTAAGCAAGAAAACAAAGAGGGTTGACTGATTCAGTCCCAATGAACGTGCCATGCGTTTATCAGGCTATGTCTTAACTCTCTGTAGTCCCACCATGTGCTACACTAACTCCTCATTGTTACTTAACTCCTTGTTACTTAAACCATATGTTTCAAATGTTATTTTCTGAAATACTTTACATTCAAACATTAATTAGTTTGAACAAAGAAGACACAAGCAATAGTCGGCTAAGTCCCTGTGTGGGTTAAGGACCCCGTAGTCAGGGAAAGAAGAACAGACCCACTGCATCCCCAGCAAGCATGTCATAAGACTACTTGGGGGCTTCCTTCAAAGAGTGCATCTGCCTGAGAGGCAAGGAACCAACAATCTGCAAACAAATAAGCAAGATCTGTAATATGGGTGCACAGGCAAAACTCAGGTCGTGGAACAAAGCCAAAGGCCAGAAATGGACGAACAACCAGGTCTTTCTGCCAGGGTTTACAGCAGCTGAACGCAAACAAACAACAGACAGCACAATGCACGGCATATTTTGCCAGGTGCATACTTTAATAACAATTGGTAAAATGTAGTAAATAAATGAATCCACCCTTCTAACTGAAACAAAATATCGATTGCATTCACAAAATGCTGCCTGTTTCACCAGAGCAAACACACGCAGACTGCAGTATTTTGTGAATGTAGTTGATTTTGTTTTTCCTTAGGATTCTTCTTCGCGTCCACCAGCTGTAAACTCTGGTGGAAAGTCCTGGTTGTTCATCCACTTCTGGACTATAGTCCTATTCCAGAACCTGAATGTTGCAGCACATTCATTCTACAGATCTGACTAATCTGTATGCAGACTGTTGGTTCCTTGCCTCTCAGGCAGATGCACTCTGACTTTTTAGGAAGCTCCCAATTAGTTAACTCTGACGACATGCTTTTGGGTAGTTAGTGGGTCTATTCTCATTTTCTCTATAACAGGGCCATGGAACCCACACGGAGAGACAAAGGGATTCATTTACTTGCTTTATTGTAACCAACTGTTACTGAAGCATGTACCTGCCAAAATTTGTCAGGCAATAAACTGCAAATCGGGCGTTCTTTTTGTTTAAATTCACAACAGGGAAACACTGCTAGATTGCTTAGTTTATATTAACATTTGCATAGAAAAGAATAAGCTAATATAACAGTGCCTGGGACTAAGATAGAAGAATCAACATCACACCATATAGGGTAAATCCACAGATGGCTTTTTGTTTTTTTAAAGATTAAAAAGGTGCCGGTACAGCGTACCCCCAGAAAAAAAAGTCCTGCCCCACATAGGAGATGCTTCATCTCCAGCAGTCCACTGGTTATACATATGGCGGCTCCACAATTCCAAATTCCCACATCCTTACACATGTCAGTGTCTGTGAATCAGACGTTGCAAACGCGCTTTGTAATGCCGGGTTCGATCCCAGCAGTGGACGATTTGTCTTTGCATTGGTTTCAACAGTGGTATCCAGAGCTGACTGTTCATAAAGTAAAGGTACACTACTCAACGTAAAATTTGCCTGGAAAAACTACAACAAACAACAAAATCCTGGGGCTGGTTCTGCAACGGCCTGTAAAGGATGAGCAACTAAATTTTTTTTTTTTACATGCGTTATTTTACAAACACGTTATTTCATAAATGTTCTTCAGAACATTTTTTCTTGAAAATGACCTTGGCTCCCAGCCTTAAATGGGCACCAGATGGACTCCTGGGAAGCAAAGGCGGCTGGTGTAACAATAACCACACTGAACACTGATTGGTCTAACAAATATAGGTATAGCCCTATATGCCCATACGTCGAAAGGTATGGAAAATGGCTCTTTAATTTCAAAATCAACATTATTGCTTATGTGAGATTTTGAATGAGGCATGAGAAAAACAAAAAGTGTAGCACATTAATCTCTAAAATGTCATATAAGGTTAGTTGTGTATCCTTCACAGGATGTTGTAGAACCAACCCCAACAGCCCCTGGCTGCTTTGTGGTTTCTCTAGGCAAATTTACGTCCAGTAGTTTGCCATTGCTTTCTGGACAATTTGCTTTCTTGATACCAATGTCGAAACCAACGCAAGGCGCATGGCCCGCAGCTGGCATCCCGGCATTGCGAAGCGTTCGTATCGAATTAGCCACAGAGCCGACACATGCCATATAGTTACATTTAATTTTGTGTTAACAAATGCCTGTGTTGGTTCTGGGGTCCTATTATAGAGAGAACAAGAATATACCCACTTGCCTACCCATAAGCGTGTCGCAATAGTCGACTAATTGGTAGCTTTCTTCGAAGTCAGACTGCATCTGCCTGAGAGGCAAGGAACCAACAGCCTGCACACAAATTAGTCAGATCTGCCAAACGGATGCATACACATCACACAGGTTCTGAAACAGGGATGCAGTCCAGAAGTGGACGAACAATAAGAACTTTCCGTCGGAGTTTACAGTTGGTGAACGCAAAAAAAGAAGTGTTAACAAAAGTAAAGTAAGTAGTTATGGATTCTTTTCACCCCTTGAGTGAATCCGGCATATAGTGCTAGGCCTATATGTTTGTTTTAATATGTGGTCAGCATCACGCTGGCCACCTTTACTTCTCAGGACATTACGTGGTACCCACAATTAGGCGGGTATGGCCTAGGAGCCCAGGTCAAGTGTAAACCAAATCAGCCTTGATGTGAAATTGAACCCAAATATTTTTGGACATTACGTGGTACCCACAATTAGGCGGGTATGGCCTAGGAGCCCAGGTCAAGTGTAAACCAAATCAGCCTTGATGTGAAATTGAACCCAAATATTTTTGGACCAGCAGGCAAACATCCGGATGCTTCATCAACATAACTTCTAGAGTAAGAACAAACAAACGATTATTTATCAAATTATTACCTTCTCCTTTGCTTTGTCTTTCTTCTCCTCGAGCACTGGTGGGTAAGAGAACATTGATGGCTTGGCATTGGATCGGAACTCCACTTTGGGCATTTTTAAGTCAATATTAAGGCCAATGATGCATGATGGTTTGAAAGCCAGCGACAGGAAGTGGGTGAGAGGATACCAGAACCAGTGCTGGCAAAAAACTAGCATGCCCACCACAGCTTCCATATTCGTGTGTCCGGTGCGAGACAGGAGAGAGACGGTGCAGTTGCGGCCCCCAGCATCAATAATACCTTGAGCAATGATTGAGCCAAATTTGGCCATGACGTCTTCGTGCTTGTCGGCGATGACTTTGGCATACAGCTGGCGGAAGTGGACAACCTTGGGACAGGTGGATTCATTTTGCTGGATTAGGATCAGAGCTGAAGCAATCAGGGCACCCTGTCTCACATAATTTACTGGATCATTTGTCATCGGCTCCAGAAGACCAATAGCGTCCTTGAGACCAGTTCCGGCACAAGCAATACCCAGGGCCATTGCAGCTCCAAATCGAACATGGGGGTTGTAGCTCTCGGACAACAGAGAGACCACACTGGGGCACTGCTCTGGAGTTCTGTACAAAAGAAAACCAAGGCAGGTGACGGCAACCCGACGGACGTCATCGTTGACATCACTGACAGCTACGTGCAGCAGCCTGCGGATTGCCTGGTTGTTTCCGGTGCCACAGTAAGCCATTGCCAGCGTATACATGCCTGACCAGCGAAGGATGGGGTCCTTGTCTCTGGTGAGAGATTCAATCAGAGCATCTGCTTCTTCAAGGCGGCCATACATGGTGAGAGCAATCCCAACAGCAAGGCCTCGTAAAATCTTCTCATGCTGGGTTTCCTGAGCATACTGGACCATGTCAGTGATAGCGGTAGATGACTTTGTTCCCAGCATCACCAGACCCATTGCTATACCAGCTGCTTCTCCAGTGACTGCATCGTCCTGGAAGAGATTGAACTTCAGCTGCTCATAGATATCTTGTCTAGCTGAACCCATGGCAGCTAATCCCAAGCCAAGGCATCCCCCATGACGTACCATGTCAGTGGATGCCTCTTTTAACTGGTTGAGGAGATAATCTGTGATCTCCCCTCCATGGTTAGCATGGATCAGACCTAATGCATACAAACCGCCACCTTCAGAGTAAGAGGAACCTGGTCCCATATCTTTAGGCAGGTACTGGGACATCAAATTGAGAGCCTCTTTTTCATGGCCCTTGTGTATCACACCCAAACTAGCTGTTGCCGTAAACTTGGCCCAGTTAGTGGCTCTGGACAGCCACTCCAGGTTGTCTCGCAAGAACTGATCTGATGTGGTTCCACAATGCATGAAAGAATTGGCAATCACTGTAGCTGTGTGACACACTGAATTCCTGACTCCCTCTTTGGTGTTTTTCAAGATAAGCATATCTGTTTTGTTATTCTTGATCAAGAACTGCAGTCTCAGGAAGATACTTGTTTCTCCTCCAAGAATGGTGTGTAAACGCTCTAGACGCAACTGCAGCTGACTGTCTGCTTCATTCAAACTCACAGGGATTTTAGTTGAAGTTTCAGGCTCAACCACAGCTTGAGGAGCAGGTAAATCATCAGTTTCCATTGGGAGGTCCTTCTCCTCTTTTTTCTCAACATCTGTGCTTGATCTTTTAGTGTTAAGAAGGGTTGGAGCTGCAATGGGTGCTGGGGCGGCACCTCTAAGAGCTGCCTGTACGTGCTGCAGAAACTGCTGTGTGGCACTTTCATAGAGATCAAATCCAATCTGGTAAGCCATGAGCACCGAGTCCTCATCTCCTTTGGTGAGCTGAACAAGAATGTCAGCCACAGCCTGAGCATCATCCAGGAAGATGTAACACTGGCATACATTAATATAATCTGGTGTGCCAAGACCCATGTACAGGCTGGTCAGAACACGCAAAATTGTGTTGCGGAACTGGCGGCTCTGTAAAAGAGACATGCAAACTTTAAAGGCATACGACAGCATTCCTTGTACATCATCAGCCTGTTTGATAGCTTTCTCAAAGATGTCAATCCTTCTGGTCTCCAGCGAAATGCCTACAGCCTGCTTGAACTGCTTGTCATCAATGCATCTCTGAAACATACGATTGACAACAGCCTCAAGCCGGGGATCAATCACTTTCTTATCTGCCTCATCTGTAACTTCCGCATTGTGGACTCTCATCTTGGTGTAATGATCAATGCATTTAGAAATGATGGTCTCCACAAACTCTGAGGTATCATTCACATTGAAAAGAGACCCAGCCCCCAAAGCAAACGTTAAAGACTCTTCAAATGCCCCAAGGTGATAGTAGACTTTAGCAGCAACCAATGCAGCCAACTCATTAGACATAAACTGCGGGTCTTCATAGAGCACCTCAATTTTGCCAACACTTTCAGAAATCTCTGCCCAGAATACATCAACAATGCTGTCCAATCTGGTCAAGGCAAAGGTCTTCAGCTGGGGTTCTGGCTCATCAAGAAGGGATATTACACCCGCTGGAAAAGAACAAGAAACATACAACTTAATTAAAAATACAGTTAACATTGTCTCAATAAATGGTACTTTTATTTCCCAGGCGGGTTTTGGGGCCATATTGTTGTAATCTTATTTGGCCGAGAGTTGAAGTTTCTTCTAGTGGGAACAGCACAAGTGAAGGTTCAGACAGCGGCCACGGGCCGTTACCAAGGCGATGGTAATTTCATGACCTAACTGAATTCTGGGCGTAGAAGACAAAGGCTCGGGCAGTTGAGAAGTTTCCATTGTCCAAGTCGGACGTCTGGAAACATTGTGTTGAGGATATTATAAAAATGTTTCTCTTTGTGAGGTTTTGATTGACCATTGTTTGCGGGAGACAGTTTAATGTCTGTTTAGTTATTATAATGGCAGGATTCCATTGAGAGAAGATTGTAATCTTTTATATCATCAGAGTAAATAACAGAGATTTATTATCGTACATGTATTAATGAATTTTCATCATCATCTTGTGACATGTAATGTTAATGACATTAAAGTTTATGTGGCCTGTCACAAGCGTTATTGTTGACTCGTAAAGATAGTAACAACTGTATTAGATGATGCTGTGCTAAGTGTGCCAGTTATTATAGTATGCCGGACTCCACTGTAGCACATTCATCAAGGAGATATCCAGCGGAATATTAGAGTAGGCACCCTAGGCCTAAATACTTGGTTGTTGAATATACAGTGTACAACAATTGTGGGGAAAACAAGAATAGGCCCACTGCCTTCCTAAAAAGCATGTCACATGTATTGACTAACTGGGGAAAGGGCATCCACTGAAGTTAGAAGACTAAAGTCCAGAGATAGATAAACAACCAGAACATTCTGCCGGAGTTTACAGCCAGTGAATGGGAAGAAGAAGAAAAAGAAAATACCTTTTTTTCAGCCTGCGGGTCAACATTTAAACAGCCCTACCTTACAGGATGAAAGGTTCTTAACCATTATGTCCTTTCTTTGGCTCAAAACAGTTATGATTAGTAAAAAATTTGGAAAGTAATGTGTTAGGCTCCACTGACTTCCACACTCACCTAACATGGTATCTGTCTCTGATTGTAATTTCTGACTTCCAGAACAAGTAGATACCCTGCTAAGCTCAGCTGTTAGTTAGTGGATAGATAATCCTCATTGCAACATCGAATCATTCATAAGTTTTTCGACCCCCTCGTCAGTAAATCCTGCAGCGTGTAATGGCTGTCAATACTATTTCTGTGTTGGTTTCTTATTTTCCCTTGGCTTCCTGCTAATGCTCTTGTCTGGCCACACCTCTTTTAATCTGCTGCTTAAGAAGTCTGGTCATGGTTGCAGAATCAGTCACCTGGTTCTCACAAATGTCTCACTTCTCATACAGAATTCAGTATAATAGCCTGGTCTATGGCTCATCTGCTCTTCACATTAGGTTTACCTGCAAGCCTATTAGCCTGCTTATTTGCTTGCATGTCTGGCGTATTCTGGCACAAAAATGAAACTGATATTTGTCAGCATCAACCACTGTCTTCGGACTCTGCCCATCTCTATCTTCCACTTCCTCAGCATATACATTGAGTCACTGAAAAAGCAAGCATGGGTAAAACTAAAAGTCTGTGTATATACAGCTATGGTATTGATCTGTTGGCTATCCTACGAATAACGGGCACAAAAGATGGCGGTCAAAAACAGGGCCTCAGTCACGTGTCAACAGCGCACTTTCTGCGACTTAATTTGTGGTTTTCCGGCGACTACCGCCACGGGTCCCACGATCCGCTCGCGACATGGATTGGGGCTAAACTAGATGGCTATGACTCACAAGCAAAGCTGCAGAAGATGCAGAAGCTGCTGCTTCATGAGTCCTAGCCATCTAGTTTAGCCCCAATCCATGTCGCGAGCTGTGCGTCGGACCCTTGGCGGTGGCGGTAGTCGCTGGAAAACCGCAAATTAAGTCACCGGAAGTGTGCAACTGACATGTGACTGAGGCTCTGTTAGGATGTTTTTGCAGCCGTTATCTTTTGCGCTCATTATTAGGAGGATAGCCGATCTGTTCATTGACACGACCTCAATAGTTACTGCAAAATATCACCACTTGATGCTTTTCCCCCATTAGTTTAGTTTCAGATGCAGCTGGGACAATCATAAGATCATGACCATCATCTTTGTTTCAGTTCAGCGACCCCACCCACTTAAATTACATATTAATTTACTGATTATCAGTTTTTTTTAAATAATTTTGATTATTATTTTATTATAATGCTCTTTCCAAGCTTATAATCAAGAAATATCTTATTGAAACAATAAACAATTAACCAGAGTTCAACAAATTTAATATATTCTGGATATTTAACTTAAGTGATTGACTGACGTTTCATTGCAAATTATAAAGTTCACCTCGAACTACATTAACAATGTACCTAATTAGACTAAATATTTAAATCTTTCATCCGCTAATGATTAGCCTAATCATTTCTTTTTTAAGTTGCGGTTCTTTGTTATGATGTACACTTGTACACCAATCAATCATTAGTGAATTATAGTGAATATTAAAATCCAGCTATCGAAAAATAGGTAGCAGTCATTTTCACAATCACTATTTAAAAACAGTGACACGCGACAATATATAATTATAAACTGCATAGATAAATGTAAATGATGATATGAAAGACAGCTTGAATTACCTGCAGACGTTAACGTCATAGCGGTTGCCATTATTAATTATCAAATCCCAAACACAAAGTAGGGACAGCGTATCCAAGTTTCGTGAGACGGCAAATTTTGAGCTACTAGCTTCCGGTCCGGGCGGTCATCGTTGCGGCGCAGTATTCACCCTTTTCGATTACATCATTTTATAGTTAGTCGACAGATTATCCTTATTGCACATCGAATCATTCAGTTCATAAGTGCTCGGATCTCATCCTCAGTAAATCTAAGTAGAGGATATTGGCTGACGACACCAGTTCTGTGTTGGTTTCTTATTCTTCTTTGGCTTTCTGCATCCTGCTCTTGTCTGGCCACACCCCTTTGAACATGTTCTTGTGGTCTGTTTGTGGTTGCAGATTCACCGTCAACACTTGGTTCTAGCAAACATCCTACTTCTCGCAGAGCATTCAGACCATCTGCCTGGTTAGTCCATCATCCACAGTAGCTTTACCTGTAAGCCTATCAGCTTACTCATTTCCTTGCACGCCAGCGTGTCCTGGCACTAATATAAAACTAATATGTGACTGACTGAAAACTAATATGTGACTGACTGAAAACTAATATGTGACTGACTGAAAACTAATATGTGACTGACTGACCTTTTACCCCACACGGACATTACACAAGCGATAAACACCCGTAGACACAAAATGCCACCATGCGGATGATGATCACCCGCGGAGAGGTCGCAGAAACCCCTTTCAGCTGTTAGGCCATAGTTAGTTAGTTAGTTAGTTAGTTAGTTAGTTAGTTAGTTAGTTAGTTAGTTAGTTAGTTAGTTAGTTAGTTAGTTGGGTTATCCTCATTGCACTCCGGACATGTCCATAGGAACTTGACAATTTACCCCCCCCCCCCCACACCCCCTTTCCCCCTTTCCTATTTTTAGAGCTCGGGGACTAAGCTTTGAAGATTTTGGGTTTATTTTAAGCATGCGTTCTTCAGTTCGCAAATTCAGTTTTTACGGAGATTCATCTGAGTCGTCGCTGGAGCTACATGGTTTATCGTTTGTGCGACACTGTCGGTAGGCGGCCTGTTGTTCATGGAGAAGGAAAGAGAGATAGACAGGTAGGGAGAGGAGAGATGGGAAACTCTTAAGTTAAATTATGATCTTTGACATTAAATGAAGCAAACAGAAGGGCTCGTTCCAGAGATCTCTACCTGCCCTGAGGCCACGAGGTATTCCAGGGGTAGAGAAAAGAAGAAGAAGAGTACATTACATTTACCGAAGATGGGAAATTGGATAAAGAAATTGACATTAGATGCAGTAAAGCAAACCAAGTATTGGGACAGCTAGCCCCCCTCTTACCGCATAAGACAATCCCAATCAGCACAAAGAGACATCTTATTCAAAGCATATTTATTCCAACTCTGTGCTACCAGTGCCAGACATGGTCACTCACAACAAACCATTCATAAAAGAAAATTAGTAACTACGGAAATGAGATGTCTGAGAAGGGCTGTAGGAGTGACCATAAGAGATAAGATCAGAAATGAGATCATAAGAGAACAAGTCGGCACAGAACCAATTCTGGATTACATACAAAGACAGCAAGTGAAATGGTTTGCCCACTTAGAGAGAATGCCTTGTGACACCATACCATACAAAGCATACATGGGAAGAGAAGAAGGACGTAGAGCACGGGGTAGAACAAGAACAAGATGGAAGGATAACATCAGAGAAACTCTACAACAGTACGATGTGCCTATGGTCGAGGCAGCCAGAAGAGCTAGAAACAGAACCTTATATCTCCCTCGACACCCACAGCGGTAAAAGAGGAAGTGAAGAAGAAGAAGAAGAAGCGAGGTTCCATGATTATGGGGGGAAAGGCGACAGTTGAAGCCGACGCAACGAGGAAAGATCTTTAGAAGTGTGGAGAGCAAGATAGGTAGAGACGGTAACGCGGCTGTAATGTGCAGGAACATGAACAATAACAGAGCAGCTGTAAAGTCGAGCTGATCCTCTTGTGTCGTGGATTACCAGAACAGCTGGCAGAATTTCATGGAAACAAAATCGATCAAATACAAAGATTCTGGTGAGATTAGGAATCAAATGAGCGGTACGAAAATAAATTATGGAGGGGAAAAAATATAAGTGAAAACTTTCGACTACATTGATAGACAGCCTCTCAAACTTCATAGTGGAGGGAAAATCTGCCTGCAAAAGAGAACAAGGTAAAAAGGGATACAAGTTTGGATTACAGTCTCTGGCAGAATATAACCACGACGACGGACAGAAAAGGTCAGACATCCATTGAATCCAAATATTCGGGGAGAGGGGGCGGGGAGGGGGGGGGGGGGTAGGAAATGAGGGCGCACCCCAACCAATGCTTCGGTGAAGGTAGCTCAAGCGACCTAATACGCCTTGTTCCTACGCGCTTAAGTTCCTTTCCATTCCCTTCAATCTGCGAAGCTGGAAACTAAACTACATAACATCTATTGAAACTCCTTTCAGACTTTTAAACTTCCCAGCTGCGCCAACACCTTTATGCCTAGCACCAGTGTAAGGTCAGCAAAGTCTGGAGAACATTGTATGTTAAAACTTGTGTCTATATCCACGGGCAGGCAGGTTAGAGTTTGCACTGGGGCAAAAGTTTGCACTGGAGTTACACAAACCATAATCCAAATATCACACACAATTCCAGGTCTACAGACGCATTCGTGTAGCGAAACGCCGTGGATATCATACTGTGCAGTGCAAACTAACGTTTCTGTCATATTTTGTGTAATTATATATATATATATATATATATATATATATATATATATATATATATATATATATAACAGTTAGTTAGTTAGTTAGTTAGTTAGTTGGTTAGTTAGTTGCGTATATTTTGCAGGACGTTGCCTAACCAACCCCCAGCATTTTTGGCTGTTGTGATTTTTCTAGGCAAATTTACGTCCAGTAGTTTGCCATTTCTTTCTGGGCGGTCGGCTTCTCCATACCACTGTCGAAACCAACGCAAGGTGCAAGGTCGCCTCAGACGCCGACGATATAAACAGTCTCATAAACACAACTATTCAACATATATATATAATGACGAAATATATATATTCTTATGTCTTTTAAGGTGGCTTAGGAGACAAGCGTTCATTAAAGTTAAAAGCGTTCACGGCTCATCGCTGATTGCGATCCTTAGTGTCTGGGTCAATTTTATCAAATTTCTTCAAATCATCTTCATGGATCGCCCAGTATTACTTTCCGGCTTGATATCACCTTCATAGATCGCCCAGTATTACTTTCCAGCTTCATGTCATCTTCATAGGTCGCCCAGTATTACTTTCCAGCTTGATGTCACCTTCATAGATCGCCCAGTATTACTTTCCAGCTTTATGTCATCTTCATAGATCGCCCAGTATTACTTTCTATTTTTATGTAATCTTTACAGATTTCCCAGTATTACTTTCCAGCTTGATGTCATCTTTATAGATCGCCCAGTATTAATTTCCATTTGCATGTCATCTTTATAGATCGTCCAGTATTACTTTCCAGTTTGATGTCACTTTCATAGATCGACCAGTATTACTTTCCAGCTTTATGTCATCTTCATAGATCGCCCAGTTTTACTTTCCATCTTCGTAGATCGCCTAGTATTACTTTCCATGTTCATGTCACCTTTATAGATCGCCCAGTTTTACTTTCCGGCTTCATGTCATCTTCATAGATCGCCCAGTATTACCTTCTGGCTTTATGTCATCTTCCCCCAATATAACTTTCCATCTTTATGTCATCTTTATAGATCAACCAGTATTACTTTCCATCTTCATGTCATCTTCATGTCATCTTCATAGATCGCGCAGTATTACATTGCAGCTTCCTGTAATCTTCATAGATCGCCCAGTATTACTTTCCAGTTTCATGTCATCTTCATAGGTCGCCCAGTATTACTTTCCAGCTTCGTGTCATCTTCATAGATCGCCCAGTATTACTTTCCAGTTTCATGTCATCTTCATAGGGCACGCAGTATTACTTTCCAGCTTCTTGTCATCTTCATAGATCGCCCAGTATTACTTTCCAGCTTCATGTCATCTTCCTAGATCGCCCAATATTACTTCCCAGCTTCATGTCATCTTCATAGATTCCCCCAGTATTACTTTCCATCTTTATGTCATCTTCATAGATCGCTTAGAATTACCTTCCGGCTGCCAGTGCCTCGTTCGCTGTTGATTTGTCCAGTCGATGATTCGATGTACTACAATGCATCACTTACTATCAGATGACCGAAAAATAATCTCTCTCTCTCTCTCTCTCTCTCTCTCTCTCTCTCTCTCTCTCTCTCTCTCTATATATATATATATATATATATATATATATATATATGTGTGTGTGTGTATGTGTGTGTGTCTCTCTCTCTGAGAGTTGCATATGCGTTTACTAGCATTATCTTTTCTTAGACACCTGCTACTTCATCGCTGTAAATTCTGCAACTTTATCTCTGCAGCTTGTGGCATAAACACACCTTTACACATACACATACACACACAGAGAGAGATAGAGAGAGAGAGAGAGAGAGAGAGAGAGAGAGAGAGAGAGAGAAATATTTATATATAGAGACAATGAGAGAGAAAGAGAGAGAGAGAGAGAGAGAGAGAGAGAGAGAGAGAGAGAGAGAGAGACAGACAGAGACAGAGACAGAGACAGAGAGGGGAGTAGAAGCAAAGCATTCATTAAGTTACACAAACACGTGCACACACACACTGCTTTTGTTGACAATAATGACAAAATACATGTAGATTAAAGGCAAGAAAGTCATCTTAACACAAGACATTTTTAAACTGTCAGCATAAAAAAGGCTAGTCAGTCACAACATACTTAATCATGCCATGTTCTGAACAAACTGTAACAAGAAGTGTGCAGAAGATACCGGCTGTGAAGATGTGTGATTAAGCAACTAGCAGAATCGCAAGCTAAGAATTGTTACATGTCTGTTTGATGACATCATGGCTGTGCAAAAAGCAATATCACATCATAATTGCAGAAGATGGAGCCTGAACAAAAGTTGTGTTTC